CCCAGGTGACAGTGACAGAGATGCCAGCAGGTGAGACTTGGTGCAGCAACTCTGCCCCAGCCATGGGCTCATGTGTGGTCCGGGCTGCAGGTGCCACTGTCCTCGTCCAACACTGGCCCTGGGTTACCATTGCCCTCAGGGTGGTGGAGTTGGGGGGGTCACAGGCGGTTCCCAGGAATGGGACCCTAAACCTCTCCTTCAGAGCCAGGCTCTGAGATGGCTGCCCTTCTGGTCAGTGTGTCCTGGGGTGACCGTGACATGAGGGCTGAGGGATCAGAACGGGGGAGAACTGGAAGAGGGAGTAGGGTGTGCGCTGAGTACGAACGGTATTTCAGGAGTTGCATCGGCAGGCGAGGAAGACCCTCCCTCACGACCAGGGTGGCAGCGTGGAATCGGCACAGAGCCTTGATGGAGCAGAAAAAGCAGAGGAAAGTCAAATTTTCTTTCGTTGCCCGTCTCTCCCTCCCTCCCTCCCTCCTTCCTTCCTTCCTCTCTGCAGAGGTAGGGTGCCCTTCTCCTGCCTCTGCCGTCGGGGTTCTGGGCTCTGGGCTCTGGGGTTTGTGCAGTGGCCTCTGGGCCTCTGGCCTCAGGTGTCACACTAAGGGTGAGACCATTGCTTCCCTGGCCTGGCCTGGGCCATGCTCCTGTTCCCCTGCTTTTGCCAGCAGACAGAGGGTGCGGCTTTCCAGCCTCCACAGCTGCACAACCATCCCGTAAGAGTCCTCAGCCGTCACCTCATGGTCGGCCCCCCATCTGTGAGCTCCTCATCTGCAGTCGACCAGCTGCTGGTTGAAAGTATTAAGAAAGTTGGTTGATCTGAGCATGTGCACAGTTTTACTTGTCATTATTTCCTACACAACCCAGCACAGCAACGCCTTGCACGGCACGACGGGTAAGTGATGCAGAGACGATTCAGAGCCATCTCCCACCAGCCACAAACATGGCCCTAAAATGCAGATGTAAAGCTACTAGAAGAAAACGGGGGATGCTTCAGAACGTTGAAATGGGCAAAGATTGTTTTTGGAGACGACCCCAAGAGTGCACGAACAAAAGCCAAAATAGACAAATGGAGTCACACCAAACCCAGAAGCTTCCGCTCAGCAAAGGAAACGGTCAGAAGAAGTGGTGGGGGGGAAATGTTTGCAAAGCCACCAGCTGGCCAGGCTTGGTGTCCAGGATGTACAAAGGACTCCAAAAGCTTCATAGCAAACAAAACAAAAACTCGCTGAAAACATGGGCAATAGACGCAAATAGACATTTCTCAAGAGAAAATGTGGAAATGGCCAGTGAGTATCAGAACAAAATGCTCACCACCGCTGATTACCAGGGAAACACAAGTAACCTCACCCCAGTTACAATGGCTGTCGCCAGGAAGACAGACGGGGATGTGGTGAAGGGGACCCTACTGCTGCTGCTGGGTGTCTGTTAGCACGGCCATCATGGAAAACACTACAGTGTTTCCTCAGCAACTGAGTAGAACCCCGTAGGGTCCTGCAATCCCACCCCCGGGAGAATATCCAAAGGGACGGAAATCGGCCACCCAGGAGACGTCTGCTCTGCTACGTCCTGTGGCGTCCACAGTGGCCAGGAAATGGCTGCAGTCTGTGTCCATCGTCTCATGGATGGGTGTGGCACAAGGGAATACTATCCAGCCATGAAGAAGAGTGAATTCCCGTCATTTGCAGCAACATGAATGGAGCTGGAGGACATTACAATAAGTGAAGTAAGACAGACAGACAGACAGACAGACAGACAAGCACCACATGTTCTCACTCATATCAGGGGTCTAATAATGTTCATCTTGTGGAAGCTGAGGAGGAGTGGAGGCTACGGGAGGCTGGTGGGAGTGGAGGTTAAGGAGGCTGAGGCAGAGGGAGGAAGTGATGGGGAAAGGGGAACGGGTGGTGTTACCGTAGAGCAGGAGAAAGAGTCGGGGTGCAGTTGCACAGTGGGGTGACTGCAGAAGACAAAAGTGTCTTTGCGTTCTGAAAGCAGGGAGGAAGGGTTTGGGGAGTGTTTGCCATAAAGAAATGACAATGGCTTGAGAGGCACAGGTTAAGCCTGGTTTGGATATCACACAGTGTGTCAGTCACCCCATTAACCCACAATTTAATACATGTGACATGTGTGTGTCAAGCATGGATGGGCACTTGTGAAAACATGCAAACACTCTGCCATTTTATCCTATTTATTTTTTAATGAAGGTTAAACTCAGGGTTTTGTGATTGCTGGACAGGTGCTCTAGCACTCCAGTCATACCTCCAGTGCTTTTTGCTCTGACTGTTGTTGAGATGGGGTCTCACTTTTTATGTCCTGGCCGGTCTGAACCACAATCCTCCTATCTGTGCTGCCCCAGTAGCTGGGGTGACAGGTGTGTGCCGACGCACTCAGACATTGGTTGAGATGGGGTCTCGCTAACTGTTTGCTTGGGCTGAGCTCAAATCCCACTCTTACTAATGTCCATCTCCTGAGCAGCTGGAATTGCAAGCATAAGCCACTGTGCTACTTTATATAAAGGACCCGAGCATTTCTGGTATCCCTTGTGGTCCTGAAACCAATCTGCCAATACCTAGGGACGGCAGCACCTCACTGGCTTTGTCTCTCTACTGAGGTCACGTGGACATGGGTAGAGGGGAGCCAGTTTCCCGAACGTCCCTCACTGGCCTCTTCCTCCTGGTAGCCACACCCTGTGCGGTGTCTTCTCACACTGACCGGGGTTGATCTGGTGCCACCTTGAGATCAGGTTTAGATCAGGTTGCCACGTTGGCTGCCTTGTTGCTGTCAGTTGGAAGATGTCCGTCTCTGCACCAGAAGCTGGGGGAGCAAGCCCTGGGATTTTGCATCTAAACCAGCCGTCTGGTGGTTTATGCTCGATGGAGAGCACCGGAGTGAGCAAGTCATATTATCCTCACAGCCTGGCTGTGCTGGGTCAGCAGCGTATTGCTGGCGTATGAGGGCTGTCGGGGGCTTGGAGTCAAGGTCAGGACAGGTGGACACTCAGACTCATCCATAGCGATGGGTGAGGATCCCATCTTTTAATCGGTTACTTCACTTTTCCTTCTGGCCGCTGTCAGTACTCTCCTGTGAGAGTCCCAATCCAGATGGTGGGGCTCCACCTCAGGCCAGGTAAAGCCGGAGCTCTGCAGATGGGAGCTGGGAGCTGGTGCACTTTGCAGCCTCCCGGGGACACTGATGCAAAGCCCCCAGGCTCTGGTGTTTGCTTCTGCATTTGTGGACTCGAACGTGTTGCATGGTGTGCCTCAGTTTCCTCATCTTAAACACATGAGGGAGTTGCATCATTGGCACTTCTGGGGTCAGAGCTTGATGCATGGTGTCCCCTGGTCCCTCTCTCCTTATCCACCCACATCCCAGAGAGCCAGCAGGTGGCTGTCACTTCGGGGAGTCCTGGGCAGGCACATGGCCGGTCTCTCTTCTGGATCAGGCCAGCACCTCACACTAATGAGGGACCATTAATACATCATGGTGAGGAGGGCGCTTGGGAAGCAGGGAAGGGACAGAGGGGAGGTCTGGTTCCTAGTGACTCTGCAGAGTGCCATTCATTCTGTTCTTTTCTCTGGCAAGGCTGTGCTGATTTTTCTCTGCTGATTCGCCCCACCTCACCTCTGTTGGGCTCTCCTTTATTCTCTTTCATGAGTCTGTCCCACAACCTGTAGTGTCCATGGACAGTGAAACTACACCTTTCCCAAAGGTGTTGCAGGAGACCTGCTGGAGAACGACCCAGGTGTCCTGGGCAGTCAGTGAATGATGTGGCCAGGTGTGATGAGACCTGGATTGAGAGGCCATGCTGCCCGCGTGTGGGCTGGATGTCCTGGCATCCTGGGGTGTCACGGCATTTTGTCTTCTCTCCTCTCTCCTCACCTGCCTCGTGGGTTATCCATCCGCCAGGTGAACCAAAATCTTAAGCCGGGACCTTAGTGAGGTGGTTACTCCTAGGGCAGCAGGGCTGCTTCTGGGACCCTGGACACCACAGGCACCTTCCTTGTCACCCCTGAGAAGCACAAAGATTTTTCAGGAAAATCTTAACAAAGACTGTGCCACCTGGAGGAACAAAACCAATGTGTAAGTTCAACAGATATAATCACTCCCTAGTGTGTGTCAGAAAGCAATACTATTTATACGATTTATCATTGTACTGAGTACCAAGCATAATAATAATAATAATAATAATAATGTATTATTATATTATAAATAAAATAAAATATAATCATAATAATATGTAATAATGCTCTTTAAGTGCATTATTACATTGGATCCTCATAACAATCCTGTGTGCTTAGTCTATGTTTATTAATTTTCTGGATGAGGAAACTGGGGCTAGTTCAAGGTCACAGAACTAATACAGGCGGAGCTGCAATCTGAGTGAAGGAAGCTTTACTGCAGAGCCCACTGCAGTCACCACAAAGAGAATTCACCCCAGCTTTTAACATAGTCTCTGACATATGGAAGGTGCAGGTTAACAGAAAAGCGACATGACTTTGCCAAAGATGCAGGATGTTCTTCGTGAAACTTCTTTCTCCTTTAACCCTTGATACATTATGACGATATTACATTAAAATAAAATTCAGTGACAGCATTTAAGTATGGTTGACAGGGCATAAAGTTCAGAAAGCTTACTGTGCATGTGACACTAACCAAGATGGAACCTTTCTATGCTCAGTTTGTTCACTCGTTAAATGGCGGCATGATGTTTTCCTCCAAGGATTTGTGTGAGAGTAAAAATCAGAGAGACAAAGAGCCTGGCATACAGCGTGTGCTCAGTGTATAGCACTTACTACAGAGAAGCTGTTTGTGACGATCGAAATTAAATCCTGCTCTGACTATTAAAAACTCCACATCCGCACGATGCAGGACTTAGGGGGCTCTGCAGCCCAAGGCAGAGTTCTTTTAAAGGACAGCTGAGGTTTCAGGTGCTCACGGCGGGGGCTCTCCAGCCTCTGGGACCTCTTCAAGCTTCAGTAAACCACACTGTTATGGGTGCCATGCGGACGGCACAGGGGGTTGGTCACACAGCAGAGCTGAACGGAACAGGACAGCGGTCACTGGAGCCTGGGGAGGTGGGGAAGAGGCGTCAGTGAGGAGCCCGGAGAGGAGGCTGGAGCAATCCGTGACCGAGTCCAACGCTGGAGAACGAGGCGCCCTACACGAGAAATGCGCAGCAGGTGAAGAGACGAAAGGCTCACGAGCTGACTTGATTATTACTCACTGTGTGTGTCACCACGGTCTGAGTCACCACAGTCGTGTGTCACCACTGAGTCACCACAGTCGTGTGTCACCACGGTCTGAGTCACCAGTCGTGTGTCACCACACTCGTGTGCCCCATACAGATGTGCACGTTAAGTCTCATGAAAAATTCATCCCAAAAGGGCGCCAGGTAACCATGTCACTTAAACAAAATGAGTTCCCAGTGTGTATGTAACAAGGACTTAAATGCACAAAAGCACAACTTTAAAAGATGGTGAGTACCAGCCCGGTGTGACTCAAATACCCTGCTTCACGCACAGGTCCTTTGCGTTGTGCAGACCCAGGTTCAAACAGGAGCGAGAGAGTTTATGCTCTTTTTTGTCCACTGCGGCCATCAGCCAGTCGGTCTGCCCCCGTCGTCAGCAGCGGCTCCAGGCTGCTCAGAGCAGTGGGTTTTACACGTGGTGCCCAGCCAAGTTATCACATCTACTGCACACAGGAATCCGGCCATGGTGTCAAGTAGTCGTCCTCGAGTGGCTACCACGTAACGGCGTGCTCATCTCTGCAGAGCACCTGTGTTGGGAGATCAGCTTAGCTTTCACTTTACCCTACTATACCTACACGTCCAGACGTGTTTCCAACAGTGGGGCGTCAGAGGAGACAGGGGAGGAGGGAGGAAGAAGAGAGCGAGGAAGAACGAGGAATGCTGAGTGACATGGCTTCTGTGTAGGAACCAGGGACAAGGATACACACCCAATATACTGAACAGTTGGGGTGGGACAGGTGAGGGGGCATTATGGAGGCGACACTGATCAGCACAGCACATTTACAGGGAAAATGCCGAGGACCCACTGCACAGTGATGGACACTGACACATGGACGGACAGGGACGCAGAACGGCTGTGTTAAGGTAAGTGACAGCAGGAGGGGAGGGGAATGAGGAGGTGAAGGAGGTGACACAGCTGATGTGTTTCTACATGGGAGAACATGGCATAGGAAACCTGTTGGAGCCATTTTAAGAAGGAGGAGGGGAAGAGGGAGAACAGTGGTAGGGATACATTGTATGTATACTTATATAAAGAAATGTCACAGTGAAACCCCTGTACAACTGATATTCTAAGAAAAAGTTAAAATATTAAAAGAATTGGTGATGACCAATTGAACACTGGTGGCTCAAGTAACCTGTAATCCTAGCTACTTGGGAGGCTCAGATCGGGAGGACCTCGGTTTGAGGCCACTCAGACAAATATTTCCCGAGACCCCATCTTGCAGATAACTGGAGCAGAATGGACTGGAGGTGTGGCTCAAGGTACAGTTCCTGCTTTGCAGGAGCAGAGACCCGAGTTCAAGAACAGCAACAAGCCCTTATGTGGCAGGGCCAAAGAATGATGGAACCCAGAAGCAACCAAAGAAAAGATGGATACGACAGATTTTCATTTATTTGTGTTTTGAGACAAGGGCTCGCTATGTAGCCCAGGGTGGCTTTGAACTCACACTCCTCCTATTGCTGCCACCTAAGTGTTGGGGTTCAGTCATGTGCCACCCTGCCAGGCCCAGATAACTTTTACTGACTCCAAACACGATTGAATTAAATCTCCAACCCTGGTCTGTTCCCCAGATGTTGAGCTGGTATCACGTCTCAATAACCCTAACCCTAATCACACAGTTGGTCTTTCTGAATCATCTCACCAGCATGAAATATCTACGGCCCACCCCGAGTTAATCACGGAGAACGTACTTGGAGGGACCTGGGCCAAAGAGACGATGCCGAGGTGTTGGGTTTGAAGCCAGGAGCTCGCCACAGCTGCATTTAGTCACCCTGGACTCGGCATGGACTTGGTGAAAGCTGTTAAGTGGTAAGGGCCTGTTTTCTGGGCTCCAAGTGCTCCTCATTGGATAAGCGCACCTGGCAGGTACATCCCCGGGTGGTTAATGGGTGAGATGTGGTGGGGCAGGCAAGGAGGGAGAGCTGACCCCTCTTTTCCTCTCCCCACACCTGTGAGCACCTCCAAGCCAGGTGTAGCTCAAGGTGGGGACAGAGGCGGGGCTTGGAGCCCCTCAGGGTTGAAATTGAGATCAGAGGAGCAGGGCCTGGTGTTTGTCCTGATTTGCACGGGTCAGGCTGGTCCTTCTGTTTTCCCCAGTCCTGGCTGGGGCTGTATGCCTGAAAGGACTGGGACCTTCCCTCCTCTGCCCTGGTGGACTCCAGCACTGCCCAGATGCCCAGGGGCTGTGGGGACAGGGTCTGAGGCTGTGTGCCACACGGATCAGAGCAGTTCCTAAGGTGAGCTGTGGGGTGAGGCCCAAAGACAAGAAGAGAAGAGGATGGGTGGACGTAAGACCCATCCAGGACTCCAGTGAGGGGTGTGAGGAGTGCGGGTTGGGGTCCCTGAGCTAGCTGGTGCCTGGTAGGTGGGAGTCTGGTACTCTGCCTGTCGCGGGAGGTGAAGGGGGCAAGGAATCACAGCCAACACTTGGGCTAGCTGCTGTGGTTACCCAGGTCTCTGGCTGAGTGATTTGACAATGGCCTGTAAAAGCAGCTAGCAGGGCAGCTTCAGGGACTCTGCTGCAATTGTGCTCTTCCTGCCCCGCAGGGTCGTCGCCCTCATGCTGGGCAGGGCCAGGACCCGAGCCAGAGGCAGAGCCCGTGGCCGACCGAGTGTCGCCCAGCCTGAGCCTCCTGGAGCCGCCGCGGCCAGCCCGGTATGTCCACTGTGTCCTTCATGCAGAAGCTAGGGAGACGCTAGTCCCCAAAGTCAGATTCCACAGAATCTGCCTCACCTCCCCTCTCACCTGCAGCCAGGGTTGTCCTCCAGCCAATGGCTGCAACGGTGTCTAAGTGGCTTCTCCAGCCCGGACTCCTCTTGGAAACGAGCAATTTAAAGTCCTCAGCACAGCCCGAGCCAGATACATTCCAGTTAGTTTAAAATGGGCTATTCCCATGTCCCGTCTTCTATGTGGGCTTTGCCTTCAAGACGCTGGCCGCAGCCTGGCACACAGCCTCTCCTGGCAGCCTCCAGGGAGGCTATACTGCCTGGCTGTATCCAGACTCCATCCAGGCTCGCTTGTTCAGCTCTGGGACTGGGGTGTCCTCCCTTCCCCTCCTGCCCTCGAACCTCAACGCTCCTCCTCAGGCTAATTCTCAGTCATTGGTATTCATTCCTAGGTTACTGAGATACCCACCCTGTCCCTCACCCCTGAGCATCGCAACCCCTGCTCCTGGGCTCTCATCTGTGACCCTGGGATACAGGTCTGCTCTCTAAAGGGAAATCTGCTTACACCCTGGGACCTTCACCAGTCCTACTGCAGCTCTGCCCTGGCCACCCAAGGCAGCTGGCTTTTGTTTACTAACCCAAATCATCCACATCTGTGCACAAGCCAGGCTCCTCCATTCAGCAGGAATCCCCCTGGATCCCCTCGCTCCCATACTTCTCTTTTCTTTCCTTTATCTTCCTAGTGCAGGACTCTTGTCTCCTCTCTGAGCTGGGTTCTTCTCTCTGCCCTACAGTCAGGCTCTGTCCTGACTGTCCCACGGAGGCTGCACCAGCCCTGCAGATCTGTATACTGTCCTAGTCCTCCTAGCACTGGCTGTCGCCGAGCTTCTCCCTGATAAACTCCTGCATCTGCGCACAGTGCTGCTCTCCTCCCCTCCTTGCTCTCACTGTGTGCCTGGCCTGGTCCTGGGGTCTCTTTTCTTTTATTCCTGTCCACCCTCCCCTAGGGACCTTGGCCAGTGTGGTGGCTTTATGGGCTATCTGGTACATGGACAGCTCCACAGACCTCCTGCTCTACCAACACCCCCACAGGGGTCCACAGACCGTTCCGCTCCCCATCTCCCCTCCCAAACATCACCCCCACCTCATTAGGAGGTCCACGTGCTCAGGCCACCATCTTTGTCTTCCCCTCGCCTCAAGCAGGCAGAATCATTGTTGCTGACTTTCTTTTTCCTTTCCACGCTATCTGGTGTCTGAACGCTCTCCACTCTGTGCTACCTCCTGGTCCAGATGTCCACATCCCTCCCTGGATGCTGCGGTGCCCTCCTCACATGCCCAGTCTGTCTCCGACTTAGAACCAGGTGAATGTGTGCAACACCCGAGACGCACTCTCTGTCCTCGCAGCCTCCTCATTCTTTCTCGAACACCCTGACCTGTCAGCCGAGGAGCTCTGTCCTCTCAACTTGCTCAATGTCAGGCCTCCCTCCTCTGAGGGTCCCTGCTGGCCCCCCGACTGGTCCAACCTGCCCCCTTCATGCCCACCTTTCGGGTAACTCCATTTTGTTCTGTTCTCCTTCTCCTCTTCCCAGCCATCACCACACAAGCGTCAATATTTTTAAATTTGGTTTTTGAAATGGGTTCTCACTATAAAGCCCAGGCTGCCTTTAAACTCCTCCTGCTTCAGCCTCCTGAGTGTCAGGATTACAGGTGTGCACCACCAAGCCGGCCCTTATGTTATCTTTAAAATTGACTTCTTGTCATTGTGGGCATGTCAAAGGAAGACCTTTTGCTTTTTGCCCTGATCTGAATGATGAGTAAACACAGAGGAGACACCACCTCTTATGTTCTAAATTCATGCAGGCCCAGCATGCTGCTCGACCGCCTGCTCGACCGCCACCGAGGCCCCAGCCGCCCCGAGAGGAAGGCCGAGGGCTTGCACCCCAGCAGCCTCAAGGAGCAGAAGGAGGAGCCCCGGCTCCAGGCAAGAGGAGGGAGAGGGTGTGGTGAAGGCAGGACTGCTTGGTGCCTGAGGTACCAAGAGGAAGTTCTGGGCAGATGGCCTCTGCATTCCCACTGACATGTGGCTTTATTCATTTTACATTTTAAAAGCATATGAAAAAGAAACGGGGGTATTAGCTTAAATTCACTCTCATTGCTTCTCAAGTCTAGGTAGTATATTTGCACAAAACCCTGTTAACTAGGAATTCCAGGAGTGCGATTTCCTTGGCTTCTTAAAATGCTGCATTTAGAAGGTTGAGCAGCTGCGTGACCTCGGTGCTTCCCTAATGCAGTGTGGCACAGGTGACAGACAGGTGTCACCCTAACCCAGGTTTCACTCAAGCTCAGCTGCAGCACTCACCAAGGATTTGGCTAAGTCAATTGATCAGCTCCAGAACCAGATTTCTCAACGTTTGGCTTCCCCCCCCCCTCCCGCCCCCCACCCCCCGCCCCCCCCCCCCCCCCCCCCCCCCCCCCCCCCCCCCCCCCGCCCCCCCCCCCCCCCCCCCCCCCCCCCCCCCCCCGCCCCCCCCCCGCCCCGCCCCCCCCCCCCCCCTTGTGATGGGCCAAAACTTTAAACGTGAAGAAGAAAAATCTATTTTAATAAACAGATACAAAGCCCAGAACCCATGCGATAGTTACAAACTTGAGCTCACAAGAAAGCACGTCTTTTCTATCACTTGGGCCACACTTCTGCAGGGTTTGGATAAATATATGTAAAAAGTACGCATGCGCAGAAAATGCATAAATCCTGCTGTTTTTCATGGAAACTTTAATGAGTTTGCTTGCTGGATGTGTCAGGAGCTAAAATCGTTCTAAACCTCACACATGAAATGTAGTTAATAGTTTTTCTCTTGTAGAAATTCTGACTCCAGTATTGTATGAAATCAGTGTAAATTAGGAATAAAATTTGTAGAAGTGAAAAATGGTTTGAGGAAAACCATTTTTGTAGCTCGAAGTGTGGGCTTTTGGCTGTTCAGGATTCCAGATCACATTTCTCTGCACGGTCAGCCATGCCTTGCCTTTGTAGAATAAATCTGAAATGATCTCAATCTTGGAATACAGCAAACCAGGGTGAGCTCCTTTCCCAGTAGCTCTAGTGGAACGGGTAAGGTGGCTCCTTCAGTACCAAAAGCCAATTTCCAGGATTTTTAGTTCTGTTCATTTCCCTGGTGTTTTCTGATGCCCACTAGCGGGAAGTGTAGTGTCAGGTGATGGCTTTGGGGAACACAGAGCCAGAACCAGGTTTGGACAGACAGACACCCGGCAAACACTATACAGGAATGAAGTATAGTTACAGGCTGGGGACTTGGAGGACTTGCTGGAAGGTTTCTTGGAATACTGCCTGTCCCTGAAGTGATATTTGCATCCTGTGGCACCACCTCTCCTATCCCCAACAACCTAGACTGTGATGCGTCATGTGGTCCTTCTCCCTTTCTCTTGTATCAATCACCATCTGTCTTGTTTGTGCTGTGTAGAAGAACTTCTGATCACAACTGGATTGCAGAATCTATCCATGATGCCAACCAGGCCTTCCAGAGTTTTCCAAGACATCGTGTTGAATACCAGGCAGAACTTGGAACACGTTAGACACTCAAAAACTGGTATGCTGGCCCGTGACACTTAGACTTTACAGGACATTCTTCTAAACTTCTAGTTACAAGTACCCTGGGTCAAGGGAGTCCGTATGTCGTGGTAACACTCCCACCTCAGTCTGTGTGATGACACTGACCTTTGCAGAAAGACCACACCAAAGAGGTCCTGATGGACTCTTACAGCCCCTAATAGAGAACAACCTGGTTCTTTGGTTGCACTGAGGAGTTCTGTTTTGTTTTAATGAGACGTTTTTACGCATAACAACTTCCCTTTCAGGAGGTGCAAAGGTTTTGTTGGGTTTTGATGTAGCTATCACTATTTCTAACCCTGTGCTTACATCAGAACTTGCCTGTTCTGGATGACTGGTGCACAGGCATTTGCCCCTTGTTCTCTCTGTTCGATCTAATGTTGGCTTAATATCATAGTTTCCATGTCCCCGTGAACCTGTTTTGTCGCTGATTTCAGGAAAACTCATGACTTGAGGACAAGTTTTGAGGGCAGAAAAAGACATCTTTGGGAAGCTAGATGCCTGGCCTATGGCTGCGTGTGCTGTGGGAGGCACAGCAGCAGTTGCAAGTCTAGGGTGGTTGGTTTTCCTGACGTGTGTCACTGTGTCCTGAGTCTTGTAGACATAAAAGCTAGACTAGAAAAGAAGTCTTACGATGCACATCTTTAGTTCCTTTGCCCAGGTAGAGTTAATTCTGTAGTTAACTACTAAGATATGGAAGTGGCTTATGTGAAAGAACAGAGATGGCAGAGGCTGCTGTTCCCTGAGAACCAGTGGGGATGGAGGAAGGGAACTCCCTGGGACAGGGAGAGGACACCCCCCACAGGACATTTCTTAAGCTATTAGATGGTGGAGAGACTTTGTTTTTTTTCCTGGCAGAGCTGGTGGAAAGCAGCTCATTGCTCAGCTGCCTGACCTCCAAACCAAGGACTATAAAACTTGGCTAAAAGCTTGTGGAGTGAGAGGGTGGCCGTGGGTTCCCTCGTGACACCACTCTGTTATTAACACGTGCCTCGATTGCAGGTTCAGAAGGCACCGCGATAAGAGTGCTGGCGAACCACTTCCGAGTGTGGCACCCGCGGTGGCCGGTGTTCAAGTACAATGTGCGCTTCCAGCCCGACGTGAAAGGCGCGAGGCTCCGTGCAGAGCTGCTCTTCCAGAGCGAGCGGGTGTTCGGAAGGAGGCGCATCTTCGACGGGCAGTCTCTGCTGTCACCGGAACGGCTGCGTGTGTCGGTTAAGTGGTGCCATTTCACTTTTTTTTGTCACATTTCTGCTTGTCATTACAAAACTTCCTGGACAACAGTGTGTTGCCTGGAGGACTGTGACAAAACCTGTGCCATGTGTCATCGCCTCGGGTATTCAATGTGCCCCTAACCTTAGGGCTTATTAAGTGAAATATGAATGGAACTTAAGCACAGTGTGGAGGCAAAAATGCTGATAAAAATTAAATTTGTGTCCTCAAAGTTAGGGGCTTATTTTCTTTGAGTTATTATCCTCTTCAAATGTTATCGTTGACTTTTTCTTTGAACTTTTTCCATAAACATTTTATATTGATGAAATTATAAGTAAAATAGCTTTAAATAATCTGGTGCTTGCTTTATATGGATTGTCCCTGCACACGTGTGTCTTTGCGAGAAAGGCCACTCACGTGTGTGCCGGATAGCCAAGTGGCATTTGGTTGTCCGTCATGGAACTTGGTTTTCTTGGAAGAACATCTGGATTCTCTTGTTTTAAATCTTAGAGCTTGGAACTTGTCAGGCAGACCCAAGACGGAGACATTGTACATATTACAGTAGAGTTTTTCAAAGAACTCAAACCCACCCACCCAGATTACCTGCGTTACTACAATGTCCTCTTCAGAAGGTGTGTTCTGGGGTTGTCGTGATGGTGACAGTGACTGTGAATGCAGACTGTGTCTTCTTGTGTTCTGTGTTGACATCTCTGTGCTTTGAGACAGGGGTCTTTCAAGTGAAACAACACCCCACTTCCATGCCCGGAAGGAGCTACGGACAACCGTGCATTTCTCTAGAGCGCTTGTTTTCTGTTCTTTGTTCTCTATGATGGCCAAACATTTAAAATGAAAATTTGAGATGTGTAGTTTACCAACGCTGTTTTGGTACAGTTCTAGAAATGAAGGACATTCTGCCTACCTTCATGTAAGTTTTGTGTTAGGAAAAGGGTAAAAGTTTGAGGTCAGATGAACGTCAGTATCTGCTGTGTCACTTGTCATCGGGAACTTGGTGTTAACTCGAAGTGTAAAGAAAACCATTGGCAGCTCGTCTTCCGACATGTCTTTGTGTTACCAGATGCTAATGTCCATTGTCATTTCAACAAATCCTACTCTTTCAATTCCTAGGACTCTGAAGCTGATAAACTTGGAACAGGTCGGTCGCCACTATTACTCCCAAGAAGCTGAGGAGGAATTCAGAAGCTGGGGGTTTGTAAAGAGCAGACTTAACCCTATCATGTCTTGAAGTTACTCTCATGCAAAGTGGTATAACTTAAACCTGCCTTTTTAAATGGGACCCACTGACCATGGGTGGTTAAGGTTTAGTTTAATTGAAATTCTACCATGATGAGCATAACCTTTAAAGTATTGTGTGTACAAACATTGCAGGAAGCTGAAATGAACTCAAACTTGGGTAATACCTTCTCTCTGAAAATCTTAACAGTAGCAAATCTGTGTCTCAATACTTGTTAAATACACTATTACAAATAATTTATACTTGATATGAAGATACAATGCTTTATGAAGGCAGTAATAAAGTTTGAGACATGTTGTACTGTAAGTAATCTTTATTTGAAGGCTCTCCACGAGGTCGGTTATTACTGGAAACAAGGAGACCAGGGGGCCCTAATCGTCTACTTTAGATCCTGAGCACAGCCCGAAACACAGTTCTGTGTTGAGAACTCAGACTTAACTCTGGCGCAACTCCTTCTCTTTGCAGCCTGGACGTGCGGTCTGGCTACATCACCTCTATTCTTCCATATGAACACAGCCTTACCCTGTGTGCTGACGTGAGCTATAGGGTCCTCCAGAGCAAAACTGCTTATGATGTCATAGATGGGACATATGAATTCCTCCGAGGGTACCCAGCCACATCCTCCAGACAACTCCAGCAAGAGCTCAAAGACAGGGTGGCAAAACAGCTACTTGGCTCAGTTGTTCTTACAAAGTGAGTGCTTTTCCAAAACTCGATTCCATTGATTCCACCTTCCTGCCCTCCCGTGTTCCTATAGTTCTCAAGTCACCAAGTGTTGCTGTCGTGGAGTAAAATGGCACAGAAATGCCCTGCCCCTCTCAGCCGCTCATCCGGCTTGGGCAGGAATGTCACTGCCCCATCACTGGTACTCGCTCGTGGTGCTGGGCCCTTGTGTATATGTCACAACAGTGATTCTGAATTTTTCTTTTCTCATTTTGGGTGTCTAGCTATTTTTAAACATCTTTAATTATAACCCCACTGGCAACTTCCCATGTGAAGCAAATTTTTTTTTTTTTTAATTTTCCTTCTACACCAGAAATCTTAACTTGGTAGGGCTTCAACAACCAGTCATTTAATCAAAATGATCTTAAGAGAACAAGCCGGGGAGATGTTTTCCAACTTCAAACTTCCCTGTAAAGCTCAAGGGTCAGAGCAGGGTGACGCTTGCATAAAGATAAAGAGGCTGAGGTGGTGGGGCTGTGCCCAGAAGCTAAGGTGCACTCTTGCCATCAGCTGGTTTTTGACAGGGCTGTCAGGACAATCCAAAGAAGTCCCTTCAAGTATGTTGCTGAGATAACTGGTTGCTGAGATCCATCTGCTCTTGCTCATACAATGCACAAGTCACCCAAGTTTAACTCAAACTAACTCAAAGTAAGCTACACAGAAGAGCTAAGTGTAACTCTTAGAAGAAAGTGTAGAAGTAAAGCTTGACTTTGCATTAAAGCTAAACTTTGTTAAATAGGACACCGAAAACATGGGTGATGACAAAAGAAAAATATAGGTAGATTGGATTTCACCAATCAAAGTGAAAGGACAAAGGGCAAATACTTGCAAGCCATGTATGGGGACAACTCAATAACGACAACCCTATTTTTAAAAGTGGGCAAAGGATCTGAACAGCCCCTTCCCCAGAGCCCTTTCCTTGAAGTACTGTCATGGCCACTCAGCAGGTGGGAAGACCCTCACTGTCAGCAGACCGAGGCTGAGAAGACATTTGGCTCCTCTTGTCAGCTGTCTGGAGACCACATCATAACAGGTGTTAACAAGTCGGTGAGGATGTGGTAATATCAGAACCAACCTTCACACACGGCTAGCAGAAATATAAAATTACGTAAATTTCCTCTAGAGCATTGCTACTCTAGAAATTCCACTCCTAATTACAGACCCAAGAGAAATGAAAAGCTATGACCTTCAGAACTGGTGCATAAACACCTGTGACACTGTTCATAAAGTCTCAACAGCTGCCATGTCACCTGGGGAATGGACCACAAAATGTATATCCATACAACAGAAGATTTGGAAGTAAAAACACCTGCTCTGGCATAAATGAGCCTTGAAATGTTAAGTGAAAGAAGCCATTTGGAAAAGAGCTTGTACTGTGTGACACAATTTACATGAAATGTGTGAACGGGGAAGTTGGGGACACGAACTTGCTTAGCCTGGGGCTATGTTTTGTGCTAAAACAGTCGTGATGCTTAATTAACTGATAACTGTGGCTCTTTTCCAGTGGGACGGGGCTCTTTTCCAATGTGAATTGACACCTGCTGCAATGGGAGGGTTTCAAGAATTTATTCCCTGTGTGGTTTTATGCGTTAAGTCAGGGATGATCCTTACATTGCAATAATGTCCACAGATACAACAACAGAACGTACAGGGTGGATGGTATAAACTGGGATCAGAATCCCCGAGATACGTTTACAAGATCGGATGGCACACGAGTCACCTTTGTAGAATATTATCTACAGGTATGAAGCTGTTTCTTTAAATCATGAAAACTCGTCAGTTAAATGAACCAAATCTTACTTAGTTTAGACATAACTCACTCTCGGTGGGGTCTATGACTTGTCTATTCGCCACGTATTTGGGTACATGGTGCAGAGGGTAACGGGCTCCAGTGTGACCCCTTTCAGTCTTAGAACGGGCTGCAGGAGTTTTAAACATGTAGGCGGATTATTAGGTAAAACAAAAACCCAGTAAGACTTCAGATGTGAACATGTTAGTCACCTGGGAGTCTTAGGTCTGTAGAACTTGGTCCAAAAAGAAAAAAACGAGCAATTATCCTCTGAAGTGTCAGTTATGTGCAGCCTCAGGCTTAATCTGATTATTCACAGGAAACAGGAAAATGTAGTTCAGTGAAGTATGATGCACAACAGGTATTCACTTCTCTAGTTTTGGTAGTTGAAAGACTGTTAAAAGAGCATCAGATACTTGTAGCCATTAGGGACAAGCAGTTACAAGTGGTGACAGATGTTCTCATATAAAAATGCAGTAATGCTCCCTGGACCCTAGGGGCTGTGCGGCACCCTGCTGCCACACCAGTGCCCCTTTGCCCATCAGAACAGCATTTAACGAGAGCCTTGTCTATCTGTCTGTCCATCCATATTGTGCATTCTGAGACAGTTGAGTCAGAGAGCCTCAGGCAGACACAGGAGTGATCAGAGCCCCGTTTTGATAACTAGAGGGGCTGTATGGAGACAAGGGACCATCTAGACTGGGTGCCATGGAGGACCTAGGAACCGGTATGTGTGCCAGGAAGGTGTGAGCTGGGGGCGTGCCATTTTCAGGGTGTCCCCATCTCACCCAATGCTACTGAGGGAACAGGGTGGGGTTGCACCCACACTGGAGACTGAGGTGGGGGACACCTTGTGAAAAGTTTTGTGAATTGGACAAATAGGATTTTGCTGTAGTGGAAGCTATATAGCCGAATGACATGATACTGTCTTAATTAGACTCTGTCTACCTCTGTCTGTCTGGGGTATGGTAAAAAAGGAGGCAGGAAAATCCAGTGAGAACCAGTTGTTACAGGGTTTGGAGTAAATGAGGGGCAGGACTTCCTGGTGGCCTGGATTTGTGGCAACACCCAGGATGGGACCATAGCACTGGTCAGCTTCACATGAGGGAACAATGGTACCTGCCACAGGGACTCTGGGAGACACTGGTTTTGGGGTGGTTTGGGGATGTGAGCAGCCGATGGAGTATCAGTGAGCCTGTGCTGGGAAATGGGTGAAGTCTAGCTTCCTTTCAAATAACTACAGACTACTTCAAGGAAAAAACACACATAATCCACTTCAGTATGACAGGAATTGTTGTGCATGACAGCCATGACTGCATTTGATGTTGTCCTGTTTGGGGTGAGAACACTTCTGAAGGACTGGGCCCAGCAACACAGAGAGACCTGGGAAGGTCCACTACTTTGTTCTGGGGGAGGAAAGTCTTTGTGGCTCAAAAGCTGTACCATAGTTATAGGAAGTTCTGTCTGTGATATCCTGTTTGAAAATGTCTTTTCCTATTTCAAATGGGGACTAAGAGCTTTGGGGAAATAATGCAGAAAGAATGCTGGGACTGGGATTTTCAAAAGGGGTGGGTTCTGCCCCCCCTTTAGTGCGAGTCTCCTTGAAGTGTCAGCCTGCCTTAGGAATCTTAAAGGCAAGTAAAGCGAGAATCACACACTGAATCTCATCCATCTGTACACACAGAGGCAGAAGAGTAATTCTGGATGTAATGCTTGCTGTGACTCCTGGTCTTTCTGGCCATGTATGCTATGTGAAAAATGACCCATGGCCATGAGCAGTAAGAGAACTAGAAAAGCACTGCTTTTACCTAGGGCACCCGTCCCCAGAGGGGCCTGTGTGTGCCAGAATGTGGGCTTCTGTACTGGTTACGGGGTGTCGCTGTGGGTTTGCTGTAGTCACGCCAGTCTCCCTTAATTCTGTTACAGCAATATAATGAGCAAGTCACTGAATTGAAGCAGCCACTCCTGGTCAGCCTGGGCAGATGGAGAAAGGGCCAGAGGGATGCCCCACGAGAGCCCGTCCTGCTGGTTCCACAGCTGTGCTACCTGACAGGTGCCCCAACTTATGTGGCCTCTTTACAAACCAGACTGCATTATGGCATAGAAAGTCAGGCTTTTCAGAGCTTTGCACCTAGAAGGCGTCCCCCAGATGTCACCATCTACTCTGCTAATACAAACTTGTTCTCCCTTGTGAAACCATATGTTTTGGATTTTTGAAAGGTTTACCAAGATTTCTACCAAGTTCGACTATGAAAAAGTTGGTGGAGAGAACAAGGCCAAATGCCAACGACAGAGTTAACATCTTGAAAATCTTCATTGAGGGCTTAGAAAGGCAAGGCATACTTTTCTGGTTGTGTTTGTGCCTGAGAGTGGTATTGAACTGAACCTGATTGCTGTGTGTATCCCTCGGCATCTCAATCCTTCGTGCTCTGTACAGAGCACGAAGCACGAACCTGTGTCCCCAACATTCGGGAGGCTGAGGTGGGAGAATCACAAGGTCGAGGCCTTCCTGGGCTATGTAGTGAGACCCTGTCTCAAACAACTATTGCAAAGAAATGGTGTAACTCCAGTCTTCCTGACGCTGCCTTGTTAGAGGGCTGACCGGGGGATAATGAACAGGAGAGGCTCCAGGTTGGCTGTGCCAACGTAGCAGCAAAGATGATATTTCAGTTTCCGGGAGTTTTATCTGCAGTATCTCGACACCAAGGACAAGCAATGATGAACCTTAGATTCAGGGAAAGTTGCCCTGTTTTGTAAATGGCTAATTGCTTTTATTTTCTTTGGATTGGAAATATTTTAATTTTCAGTGATCAGAACGTGCAAGAGGAACTTGAGCGCTGGGAGCTGAGGTTTGGCTCTGATTTCATGCCTGTCTCTGGAAGAGTTTTGAGAGAAGTTACAATCTTCCAACATGACAAATCGGTGAGGCAGGCTTAAGACTAATCAAGATCTACCCTTGAGCCAAAGTAATCTACAGGTTACATTGAAACAAAAGCCAGACAGTGTAAATTTCTGCAGTTTATTTGAACAAAGGAGGGTTCGTAGTCAGGCAGCACTCAGGGCCAGAAAAGGTCCACAGTGCCGCAGTGGCCATGTAGACAGTGACCTTGAACAGGTGGTGTGGCAGCTGGATAAATAAACAGATCCGACTGCTAAGACTCCAGTTAGAGGCTGGTTTGTCTGGAGATTCGAGGTCCTTTTGCTGGTTACATCGTTTGTCCAGGTCTGACGACTCAGCTAGAAGTTTACATCTGTGATAGAATTCCCCATCTATACCTAAAATACCAAGCCCAGTCATTATTTAAGATGAGAATTGGGAGATTTCAATAGGAAATAGCACAGATATATGGCAGGAAGGCAGGTAGGTGGTGCTGACCTTTACAAAATGAAATTTTTTGTGTCTTGTAATTCTCCAGTTTGGCCCCGATCCTGAGCTGGGAGACTGGCTGAGGGAGTCCAGGAGCAAGTACTTACTCAGAGCAAAGTCGCTGACCCACTGGGTGCTGCTCCACACTCAGGAGTTCGCTGACATTGCCTGCTCCTTCCATAGGAGTCTAGCGAGGGTCACGCCAGCCATGGGTATGGCTATGACGAGAGCAAAAGTGTGAGTACGGCACAGACGATTTCCAGTTTGAAAACCGGTTGGCAATCCAAAAGCAGAATCACTAAAAACTGCAACCCGCCACCATCATTTTCTTAATCCATACTCAGAAACTTTGTCAGTCTCTTCTTGTCACAAATATTAAAGCCGGCGTTTGGAGCTGTGGTGAGGGAGGTGTGAGGATCGGCAGCTTGCTGACAATGGACGGGGGAATGTTAAGAACTAGTTCCCAGTTGCGGACTTTTTCTTTTTAAAGACTTCTAAAGTGTAATTCTAGAATCACAGGCAGTAAGAGGAAGGTACGGATTCCCGTGCTCTGTCCCATGCACACATAGCTCCTTCATGGACCAGGGCTTCCCTCCTGCCATGTAGAAGCTGGGATGCTGACCCCAGCTCCGTTAGCCAATCCTGCTCAAGGACGGGCTGTGGGGGAGAAACTTCTCTGGGATATTTCGAAGTGATTCCCCTGCTGAGGTGCTGAGGAATGCTTTTCCCATACTTCCTGGGAGTACCTGGCCAATTTCCAAGAGGTAAATCCTTCTCTGGGATATTTCGAAGTGATTCCCCTGCTGAGGTGCTGAGGAATGTTCCTGGCCAATTTCCAAGAGGTAAATCTCTCAAAATCCTGGGGTCTTCCCTGTGACTGGGGATGCCTAGGGTTTTCAGTTCCCACCGGTGTCCCCTCCACCAAGTTGGCAATTACAGGTGGGGGCTGCTTTATGCTCCAGTTTTTGCCTGCCACATGGTTGGTTACAGGTATGCTGCACTGTACCTGCCTATTTCTGTTTTTAAACACTTCCAAGTAAAATGTTTACCTTGGGCATTTTGTCTGATTTTACACTATATTTCACTTGTTACAGGAGATACTTGTGTGTCACTGTTTGTCACCTCCTGAATATGGATACTTATTTTCTAGGTACACAGTAGAAGATGACTCTAGCTCCTATATAAATAAGCTAGCAAACTGTCTTACTCCAGCTACACAGATGGTAAGTGTCTGGGGTGTACATGCAGCCTTCAGTGGCTATTCTAGAGCTGTGTTTACCTGTATTAGAATTTGGGGGCTGCCATTGGCCTCTTAAACCAGTCAATGATGACAAGTTTGCACCTATAAGCTAGCTGAGTATAGTTGGCCAGGAGCTAGCTTTTCCTAAATATTATCTTGGGCTAATTTGCTCAGGGTTGAGGGCTTGGAATTTTGAAAACATAAGCAGCATGCTAATTTTAAGCCACGTGGGTTGTAGTAATTGCCAGGCCTCACGCTTTCACCCCCAGGGCTGGGATTGCAGGAGTGTGTTGCCATCTTGGGATCTGCCTTGTGTCTTTCACTAATTCACCTTGTGTTCTGCCTTCCTCATAGGGTGATCTTGGTATGGAGGGATTTTCTTAATCGTGACACCAGAATGTTTTTCTTGTCTTTTACATAAATCCTGGGCTTTCACCTTTTAGTCATCACAGAGAACCCTGGAGGCTACTTCTTTCTCAATGAAAGGTCTTAGATTTTTAAAACCAACATATAGTACCATATTTCTCATATTCACCTTTTGAAGAATGCATACATGGTAGAAGGGTCCAGTCTAGCCATTAGTATATGTATTACTCAGGTGCCATTTTTGTGCTGGGAAACTTATATCACACTTCTAGCATGTTTTCAATAATATATACGCCGTGAACGATAGCTGCCCTACTGCACACCAGACTTCTTGCACTAAATCCTCGTACCTAACCGTAACTCTGCACCCTCGGACAACATCCCCGGCCCTCCTGGTCACTGCCGAGCCTGTGGTAAGTGCCGTTCTGCTCTCTACCCCTGAGCTCCACACACAGCCATGCGGCTCTTGTGTTTGTGACCTGGCCTAGTTCAGCATAGGCAGTGTCCTCCAGGTTCATGTCACACACGGCCGCATGGCCTTCCTTATAGTCGAGTCGTTCACTGTGTGTACACCACTTTCTTTATCCAGCTGACATTGGCACTTGGGTTGTTCCCAGGTCATGCCTGTTGTGAATATTGCTGGAATAAACACGGGGGTGCAGATAGCTCTTTTACATGGTGGCTTCCTTTCCTTTAGGTGACCTGGAGTGGGATTGCTGGGTCACGTGGTGAAATGTAATTCTGCTTTTAATTCTAAGGACCCTTCACCCTGTTTTCCAGAATGGCTGTGCTGATGCACCTTCTCAAGCATAGCAGACATGGCCGCCATCCTGCCCTCCCCAGCACTGGTTCTCTTTCACCCTTTCTGGATTACTGACTTACTAGGGTGAGGCGATGTCTCGTGGTGGTTTTGACGTGCATTTCCTTGGTTAGTGACGTTGAACACTTTTTCCATATACACATTGGCCATTTGTAGTCATTTGAGAAATGTCTGCTTGGGACTTTTACTGATATATTAATTCAGATACCATTTCTTGTCCTGGAGTCCTTCACATAGCCAACGGTAAGCCCTGATGGGGTACATGACGCACAGATGCTTCTTCTCTGTTCCCCTCACTGTTTCTTTGCCACACAGAAGCTCTCCGGTGGACCTGGTCCTGGGTCCAAGGTCCTCCCAGTACAGGGCTGTGCCTCTCACCTCAGTAAGCCATTGTCCTCACCGGGCCACAATCAGATACTTTGATCTCTTGCCTGGTGCCCTTCACTCCTGGGAAGGTATTTGGCCTGTGTGCCAATCGTTCAAATGAGTGTTTCTGCAGTCAGGGGAGTGATCATGGAGACCCCATTCCACCATTTTGTTCTCCTTTCTTTATCTCCCTTTAATTAGGAAAATTGTTTTGTTCTTTCTTTGGCTTTTGTGACCTTGGAAGCACACTGGCCAGTTATTTTGTGCATCTCCTCTGCACAGGGCTTTGCTCATTTCCTTGTAAATGGAAGCAAGCTATGCATTCTGGCAGAATGGCACAGAGGTGACTACGGTTCTGGATCCATTGTGTCAGGGAGTAGGATGCTGATCTCACTGATAATTCTAATTCTTATCACCTGGTTAAGGGGTGGTCTGGAAGGTCTCCGTATTTGTTATTCCTCCCTTTTACAATCTTTGGTTCCTGGTGGAAAGACAGTTTAATACTGTGCACCAATTTCTTTTTAAAGTTTTGCTCAATGATGTTCAGAATTCACCAATTCTTGTCTGAAACAACCCTCACTTTGGTACTCACTGAATGGAGATTTTGTTCTGCTTCCAACATTCCTCTTATTGATTGGTGTCCTACTGTGAGGGAGAAGTCCTCAGGCTTTATTTACTCATTTACATGCATAAATTGGTGGTACTGGGTTTGAACTTGGGGCTTCGTGCTGGCTAGGCAGGTGCTCTACCACTTGAGCCACGCTCCCAGCTGTTTCTTGCCTTAAATCTTTTTCAGAGAGGGTCTCATGCTTTGTCTTGGGTTAGCCTTGGCTGTGACTCTCCTAGTTATGTTTTATGCCTTTCATGTGATACCAGAATGACTAGTTGTGATGCCACACAGGTTGTTTGTCAGGTTCTTGTCCAGGATCAGACAACAGGAGAGTAGCAAGCGAGAGAAACTTATTGTGGTTCAGGAAGATGCAGCACCGGGGGCACCTGGGTGGGGTCAGAGAGACTGAGCCGTGGCAACTGCGACACCTAAAGGTTTTTATCTGGTGCGGTTTGCAAGACTCTGGAAAAGCTTTCTGATAGGTTGGTCCTAGTTTTGCTACAAGGTCTTGACTCACTTTTTCCTCCCTCATCTTCCCTCCCTGAGGTTGTTAGTCAAACTGTAACTGTTCTTCTCCCCGTCTCACACCTGGGCCCGCATCCTGGTGACACTTGGGAGTGCTGCCTGGGGTCACATCCTGGTGACACTTAGAATGCGGTCTGGGCCCCCATCCTGCCTGGTGACACACTTTGGGGGAAGTGCTGTCTGGGTCCACATTCTGGTGTCTTTGCCTCTTGCCCACTTCTGGTTCTTGGAGACCTCAGCTGCTGCTTTCTGGCCCCAGCCCTGCTAAGGCTAGCTCCTAACACATGTAGCCGGGATTATAGAAACAACGCATGTGCCACCATGCCAGCTTGTTTGTGTAAATGGGGTCTCACTTTTTGTCTAGGCTGGGCTCAAATCTTGATCTTCCTGATCTTTGCCTACTGAGTAAACTGGGGTTGAAGGTGTGAGCTTCCATGCCTGGTACTCATAGACTCTTAGTGCTTAATAGAGGGTGACTTTACTCTCATTAGTCTGTTTAGTTGATCCTCTGTACAGTTTCTGCCCTGCAGATATGCTGTTGTGGCATCTGTTACCAGAGCTTCGTGATGTCTGTCTTTGAACTTTACCTAAACAGATTATTTGCACAGTCGTTGGTGTCTTTTGTTCACTCTTGGCTCATTTCTGGGTGTGACTGCAGCTGTTATCCCATTGCTTTCAATTCCCATTCTCTCGTTAATGACCTTTGGGGTCTCTAGTTTGGCTGTCACTCACTACACTAACACACGTCTGTTATGCGTCATGCATGTGTTTCTGTTGAGTGGATGGTCTGTCATTAGACTTTACTAATTAGTTTTCCAAAATATCGGCACCAATTTGTACATCTACCTTCAGCTTACGCAGTCCAGTTGCTGTCTTTTGCAACAATTTGACTAACCTTCAAATTTTAACTTGAGCAACCTTCCCATCGTAGGACCTGGTATTCAATTTCTGTACCTCCTTCCTCTATGGGGCCGTCAATCTCGTCAGTTCCTGACACATCCTGGGAAGGGCAGAAGCCTGGGGAATACAGCTTCAATTGCTGGGATCACCCTAGTCCCCAGTTCTCACCCATCAAAACCCTCGTTTCTTCATTGCCTGGTCAGACCTGCTGAACCCCAGACAGGCTCTGTCCACCAGGACCATGTCCCCTCAGGACACCATGCTTTTCCAGAAGCTGAAAGCTTAGGTGGCTGCTAAGTGACAGCTGTGCTGCGTGTGGGTAGGGGACAGTGGTGGGCTCAGCCCTCAGTGCATTCTGAATGCATCAAGCACCATGGATTTTAAGGCGTTAGGAAGAAAGCAAGCCAAAATAGTGACATGTGCAAAGAAGCAAAAGCAGAAATGAAATGGAATAAACTGACAAATTTAAAGCTGGTTCTTTGAAAATATTAAATTTGACATCTTTAAGACTGAAGAGACAGAAGGTAGCTCATCGACGTAGATCCCCGGGTATCAGAGATGTCAAAGGAACTGTAAGCCAGTGACTTGAAAACAGAAGTAGGTAATTTTAGAAAAATGGGACTTTTTAATATGACAACCTATAAGAAACACTGGTGCTAATCAATGCATATACTGCAGTTGGAATGCCACACCCTTTCTGCAGAAAGGAGGAAACTCAACATTGGGGGAAGTCCTGAATCTACAAAAGATGTCTGCTGAAAACTCCTGCAGACATTAGTGTGTGAAAAAACACATCCCTGCTTTTCCCATGGCAGTTGGGAACAGGCCCCATGGTGTCCCCTGTTGACAGCTTGTGGTCACTTGGGGGTGACGGTGCCCATCTCAGTGTGTCGCTGAAAGAAGGAAGCTGAGTGAGTCCTTGGCAGTCAGTACACAGCGACTGTCCTGAGCCCGGTGTTTCCTCATCTTCTATTTCCCACCCCCAGAGTAGAACCCACATCACACCTGGAAACGAGCTAATGAGTTTGCAGTCTGTCTTTAACCCATCTTTGGAAACTGAGCGATTTGGACAAAGGACTTTGCAAGTCTAAGCAACTGATGTCTATTGCCTCATTGTCTGCCCTGCAGCCTCTTGTCTGCTCAAATCACAGCTGGTGACCATATGGCAAATCCAGACCCTCAACCCTGAGGCTCCATGGTCGGCTTCCTAAGTGGACGCTGGCTTCTCGGTACTCCCTCTTGTGTCTGTTGTTCTGTCTTAGCATGTTTCACCTTTGTTTGTCTTTAAGGTGGTTTGCATACTGCCCAGTGATGACCAGAAGAGGTATGCAGACATAAAAAGATACCTGTGTGTTCAGTGCCCGGTGCCAAGCCAGTGTGTGGTGGCAGAGACCTTAAGCAGCCCCAAGAGGTTCCTGACTATTGTCACCAAGATCGCCCAGCAGATGAACTGCAAGATGGGAGGAGCCCTCTGGAAGGTGGAGACAGGCGTATGTTGGATTTCATCACCCTCACTTCATTTGCCTAGTGCAATTTGTCTGTTTTGCTTATATTCTGTTCTAACTCAGTTTACTACCTTTTTTAAATACATGAAGTTACAGAGGACGATGTTCATTGGTATTGATTGTTTCCACGATGTCGTACATCGCCGGAAGTCAATTGCAGGATTTGTGGCAAGCACCGATGAAGATCTGACCACGTGAGTAAGCTGACATGCCCTTGGTGGTTGTCTGTGGCCCAAAGGAGAGATGAGCCCCGCTTGAATTTGTTGATGGTTCAAAAGATTGGGTGTTCGCAGGATGCATTCTCAGTCACACACTCTGACTTCTGACAGTTGTGCTTCCCAAACCTCTGTGCCGCTTGCTGGCTCTGGGTCACTGCCATAGCCACACAGCAGAACCACGCTGGTGGTGACATACCAGCACTCTGGAGGCTGAGGCAGGAAACTTGCAGGTTCAAGACCAGCTAGGGCTACACAGTGAGACCTGTGTCAATAAGACAAAAAGTGACAGCCAACACATCTGTTTCTGTGTAGTTGTTTTTGTTATTTCTTGAGACAAGATCTCACTATGTAGTCCAGGCTGACCTTAAACTTAGGATCCTCCTGCCTCAGCTTCCTCAGTGCTGGAATTATAGATGTATGCTAGCACACCAGCTTTTATATGGTTCTTTGGGCCAGGCAACTGGTACCCTATGGCTCTTCAGGGTCACATCTGGAGGCTTGGTGGTCCTCTTTCTCACTCACTTAGATGTGGCAGAATCCATTAAAATGCCTGTGGTACCAGAAGAGACCAGATCTGAGCATTAATTGGACACTCAACTATTGACGGTGGTTTTCTTTTTTTGGTCATATATTAACTCAGAATCCGGTGGTTCTGTTGAGAATCACTGATGGACTGTTAAGGTTCTAACAGACATTTTCCTGCAAACAGGTGGTACTCTCAATGCATCTTTCAGGAAACTGGAGAGGAGCTCGTGGATGGGCTGACAGGCTGTTTGGAAGGTTGGTGTCTTTGTTCTCCAGGGTTGGGGCTCCCACCTCTGCACCAGCACCCTCCAGAGATCACTCCAGCTGTTGGGTCATGACTGGAAATGTTTTGTTGCCACATCTGGGATGGTGACACATGTAGCGTTTAGGCCAGTGTAGGGGCGGGGATGCTGCTACTTGCCTTTCTGTGCCCAGGACAACCCTCCACAAAGAATTCTGTCTCAGAATTTCAGTCATGCCGTTGTTGAGAAACCCTAGGCTAGACGGAGGCCACTGGCAGTGACACTGTCCTGAAAGCTGTGGCTTTGGAAGATGAACCTACCAGTTTTCCAAGCGGCAGAGGCTGGTGGCCCCAAGTTCACTTACACGTGCTTCTGCTTCCTTCCAGCCGCCCTGACTTCCTGGTTTAAGAACGCGCTGAGCGCGCCGCAGTCGATCGTGGTGTATCGGGACGGGGTGGGAGACGGTCAGCTTCAGGCCTTGCTTGACCATGAGCTACCGCAGCTCGTGCGCTACTTAAAGCACGCCTGCAGGCACAGGTGAGAGGCCACTGTGCTCGCTGATTTCCAAGTGATACCTCCTGGTCTTTAAGACACATCCGTTTTGGTGGGGGCTGGGGGAGGAAAAACCCATCAGAGCAATGGGGGTGGGCAGACAGGCAGTTACCCTTTGACCTCGTTCCCACACTGAGTCGGAGTGCAGTGCGAGTGGCGGTGGCAGTAGGCGAGTCTTCCCTGCAGAACCTCGGGGTCGTCCTCTTTGTTTCTTTCAAGTCTCAATGTGGAGGACTTGCTGACCTTGGAGTTGAGCCATCAATGAACGTAAACTAACTTATCCCTCCTTTTGAGCTTGGACACCTCAGGGCTGGGCGTCCCTTCCAGCAGTGTCCCCCGGCCTCCTGTCTATGAGGCCTGATGCGAGCAGATGTCACAGGGATGGATGACCCCAGGACGTGGGTGGCTGGCACAGTCAGGCGTGTGGGACGAAGCTGTAAATGGGGTGTGTGGAGGGAAGGCGGCCGTGGGCTCTCAGTACTTCTGAAGAGCATGATGCCACTTTCTTCTGAGAAGACTCAGTAAGCATCGTGACCTATCCTCATTTTAAAGTATCAAGCTAGCTTTCATTGTGGTGAAGAAACGAATAAACACCAGGTTTTTTATTGAGAAGAATGGTTTATACCACAATCCTCCTTCAGGAACTGTTATCGACGTGGTGCTAACCAGGGAGGAATGGTGAGCTACATTCTTTTTCTTCGTTTTTCTTTCTTTCTTTTTCTTGTTCGTTTTTTTTTTTTTTTTTTGGTAATCCACTTTTACTTTTATATCTGCATTTTCTAGATTCACTTCAGCAAAATCACTAATTCCCAAAGGTTCATTTTTTTCTGATTCTTGGTGATGTCTTCATTTATTTTCCACTCTAGGCTGGGGAATTCTTCACTTGGACCTAGAAATTGTGATTTGTCTGGTGGTTGTTTAATTTTCTTAAACTTTTGTGTCTGTGACTAAATAAAGGTTAATTTTAGTGTGATTAAAACCCCCTTATTTATGAAAGTACAAGTAATATTTTCACAGACGGTTTGGAGTCATCTCAAATCAAATCACACATAATGTGGGGGAGGTTTCTTTTTTTAAAAAATGGTTTGCTACTTTTAAAGGGGGTGGCCCAGGAGAAGACAGTTCCTCTGACATTCATCCTGTGAGAACAAAACAAATGTCACCGAAGTGGTGAACGTTTGGGGGATACAAAACAGAGCTCAGTTTTACATTGCCAGCCTTGGCAATGCAGAGCAGCGATTCAGGAACTGATTTTTCCTACAGGAAGTGAGAATCCAGACAAAATGACAAGGTTAGGCACCAGCCAGTCCATGTTAAATTATGCTATGAGACAGAAAATGTGATAAAAGCCTCAAGAATCACTAGGAAATCTTGAATTAAAAGGTCAGCTTAAGTGTGGATATCTAGCAATGATAAATGTAGTCAAACTGAAGAAAAGTCAGGAAGGGTGAAAAAGCAGGTGAAACACAAAGCAACGATGCAGGAGAGAGCCAGAGAGAGGGGAAGGTGAGGAGGAAAGGTTTCAGAAACACGAGGCAAAACAAGATGTCCTGCCTGTCAAGTTGCAGGGCACTAGATACAATGAGGGGTCACCACAAAGACTCGGATCTCAAGCCTCAGGTTTCGGAATCACAGCACTGAGCAACATCAGTAAAAATGTCTATTAGAGGAGCAGGCACCAGAGATTAAGTCAAACAAATAACATTTATAAAGGATAAAATTATACTCAAAACACCAGTAGGAACCAGAATAGTGAAGCAGGACCTTTAAATTGCTACAAAGTAGCAACGAAGTGAGGATCTGATGGCTAAGCTTTACTATGCACGCAGTCTGCAGCTTAGGAAGAAATAAATGGGACTGTTACAAAGTGACAAGCCAGGAGCAATGCTGACCTGTGACATCAGCAAGGACAGAAATGATGAACAAAGCCGAGGGTGCCCCAACCAGGCCACTCTGCAACCCTGGCGTAAATAACACGTCAGAAAGGAGTCGGGGCAGTGGGGGTGGGGTGGGGGGTGGGGGGTGGGGTGGGTAAAGCACCAAGTTCAGGAAATGGTGTTTCTGAGTAACTTTACACTTGTCCGTCACACAAGTAGGGTCCTACGACCCCACGAGGGAAGTAAAACGGGTGGGAGAAGCGGGGTGCAGAAACGTCCATCAGTCAGTAGAAGGCGGGGAAGGGATGAAGAAGGTGTGAGTGAAGTGACAAAGTACGAGAGGCCACCCCGAAGATGCCTGGTGTCCACGGTAACCACAGCAGATGACCTTCCTGGCCACAGTGCTGGAAGTTGCAGCGCCCCAGTGACCCTTGGGCACAGACGAGGCAGACACAGGAAAGGAGCCCGCTTTGCTTCCCTCCAGGCAGCAGCCCTGTATTTTAAGTCTGATTCCGTGAGTTTTTCCTGTGCTGACACTTAACTGTCTTTGTGGAGGCATCAGGTTTGTTTGCACTTAGGCTTCCCACGTGAACTGAGCCCTGCCCGTAGAAGGCAGGTCTGTAAATTAACACAGAATGTCTTCAACGCTGATCTAGGGTTACCGTGTCCCCTTTTCAATAAGCCGACACCCACGTGTGCTGCAATTCCAGGTATGACTTCTACATCGTGAGTCAGTCCTCGAGATCTGGAATGGTCACCCCCACCCACTACAATGTCATCTATGATACAATTCGCCTGACCCCAGACGCAGTGCAGCGCTTAACTTACAAGCTGTGTCACATGTACTACAATTTGCCAGTAAGTCTGCTGCTCGTTTCCCTTCAACTCTTCAGAACGCATTGTTTAAAACTAAGCAATTGATAGTTATGAAGCCTCCGTCTCAGAGAAAGAAAGGAAAAGGTAAGTTCTAGAAGATGAGAGGTTGAAAGATATTCTTTTGGGCTGAGCTACTCAGGAGGCAGAGACAGGAGGACTGTGGTTTAAGGCCAGTGGGGCAAGTTAGCATGAGAGCTCATCTGGAAAAGCAAGCCCAAAGAAAAAGGGCTGGGGGTGTGCCTGCAGTGTAGTGCTTGCCTAGCAAGAGCAAGATCTGGGGGCGAATCCCTGGTACCCCCCAAAATAGACACACGTACACTCTCGTTTTCCTTCCTATCGAAGGGTATCATTCGAGTTCCTGCTCCTTGCCACTACGCCCACAAACTGGCTTATCTTGTGGGAAAGAGCCTCCGTCAAGAGCCAAGCAGGTCACTGTCACACACCCTCTATTACCTCTGAGCTACCGGGAAGACCTTGTGTGGTGCCAAGAACCACGACTCAACATCCATTGGCACGTCTGAAATATCCTAGTTCGTAGCTAAACCAGTCATTTTTTACTGGAAATGGATGTTGAATGGCATCAAAGTGACAGCCAATAAAGCTGTGCCATTGACAATTGGAAACGTCAAGCACTGTCACCAGGGAGCAGGTGAACAGGTGCACTCCCCTTGGAAAATCACATTGATTTTTTTAAAAAACAGTTCATTTTAAATAATGGGAAAGGAAGACGAAGATGTAAAAATGGCAAAATTAAGTAGCCACTTATTTGTCATTTAACATTTTGTCACTAGAGAGAGGAAATGAATTAATACACAGAGGATTATGTTCTTTGTACTTGGGACCAATGTACTCTTGAGAGGCGAGTTAGAAGTTGTCAGCTTATGGAAACGTCTGTCCACCAAGCTCTAAGCCCCTGTTTAGTTCCTGCACCATAATTGGTCTGCAATAACTTGTTTCAGTGAAGGTATTCTGCATGCGTTTCTCTTCACTTCAGACGTTCTTTAAATGGACTTAAACAACGTGTGAGAACAGTTTTCTCACACTCCTAAATCGTGTTTGGGGAGGAGGGGTTAGATTTGCATACACTAGAAAAGGCATTTCTGAAAACAATGTATTTGTTGCCTTGATTCCATGTTAATGAATTTGGGTTTGCAATTTGAGTCTGCCTTATAAGAAATACAACTGAACAAATCACTTAAACACACTGTCGTGCGGGTGACAGGGCACTGAGCTGTGTGCCCACAGGGACAGATGCAAGAGATGGCCAAGGAAAAAATGTTCTTTCCTGAAGCTGGAATTTGACTTATGTTAACACATTTCTAGAGATCAAAAAAATCTTTTGGAAGGAGAAAAAAATGGGAAGTCATTGAAACTTTGAGTGTTTCCTATAAATGTAATATTCAAATATCACTTTTTCGTAATACTATTAAATGGTGTAATTAAAAGTATTCATGTTAAAAATCCCTGAATTGAGTCTCATTATCTTGAAAATGCATCAGCCTCCTTAATCTCTGGACTGAGGATATTGTTTTTTTCTAAGATAAATGGAAACATTGTAACCAGTGGACTATGCCAATTCCTTAGCCTATTAGACTTTTATTTATTTTTGGAGGCACTGGGATTTGAACTCAGGTCCTCACACTTGCTAGGCAGGTGCTCTTAACACTTGAGCCACTCCGCCAGCCCTTTTGGCCCTTGTTATTTTGGAGATAGTGTCTTGTTTTTCTTGCCTGGACTGTGGTATTATTTTTGCTTCCTGCCATGGCTGGGAAGACAGGTGTGAACTGCACCAGCTTTTATTAACTGGTATGGCGTCTCACAAAATTTTTGGTCCAGGCTTGTCCTGGAACCACAATCCTTTCAATCTGTCTCCCTAAATAGCTACAATTCCAGGTGTGAGACACTGCAGCTGGCCTATTTTTTTTATAAATTAGGTGAAGGAAGCTGGGTAATCAGTATTTCCAAGAGGAAGTCATACTGTCCCAAAGGTTTATAGATGAAAATGTCTGCAAATCCCACGGTGCCTGAGTGTCCATTATGGAGTCAGCACTGGGGAGGGCTTTGGTCTTGTGCAGTGATACAATAAGAACCTAAGGAATGTGGATTTCCTGACTCCAACAACAGCGAGGACAATGTTACCCAGCTGCTTCTGGATGACAATCTGTGGGCTCTGTATCCATGGGTTCAACCAGTTTTGGAATGAAAATGATACTGGAGTGTTGATCCCGAGTTCATGTCCTGGTGTAGTCAATGATTGAAGATGACAGACCAGGAGTTAAGAGTAAAGCAAGCACAAATTTAAGATAGCAAAGCTCCCTGACAGGTGGGACTTAGTGAAAGAGCTCAGCCAAAGGAAGGCTGAAGTCAGGGCACTGACTGGCTGAGGTCCAACTGTTGTACCTTGAAACTACAGTTGTGATCGGTTGGTGCCTAGTCAGCTTCTCATTAAATCCGGCCACCTGTCTGTCCCTCTCCTTATCAGACTGGACATTCCAGGGGTGTCTGGTCACTTGTCCTGGCCTTGGGGCCGACTGCCCACATCATGCAGCTGCATCTTGCTACTTTGGTGAGAAGCTCGTTATTTCTGAGAAGCCGGCTATTCTCCACACCTCTTTAGATCTCTGCTTTGGATCTAAAGTGCCTTTCTCATCCAAAATGGAGTCAACTCTGTCATTGCTCCCCTTACAAAAATATTTGGAAAAAATTGTGCCTGTGCTCTGTATGTATGCAGACTTGTTACTCCCTAAACAACTGGTACACAACAGCGTTTACACTGCACTAGGGACTGGGCCGCCTGGAGGTGACGTGAGGTCTGGGAGCCTGTGTGGCTCCGAGCACATGCACAGCGGTGTCCTTCCTGGAATCGGTCACCCCACAACACCAACTCTCCCACCGAGCACATGTCAAAAACCCTGAGCAAAATATAAAAATGCTGAACAGCATCAAAGGTAACAAATGAGAAAACCATACCGATATTTAGCAGAAGAAGTCCAGAAACGTGACTGTGGTATTCAGAATGACTTTTTATGCTACAAATTCCACCAGAGAAAACTGAGAAGTTTTGTTTTGTTAGGTTTATGGGCCTGTGTAAAAGTGGGGGAAAACTGGAGTCTGACACTTGCATGGAGAGCTGTGGGTGACTTGCATAGTTAGGTGTGAGACCCTGAAGCAAACTCAAGACCTCCTAGGAACAAGGCCAGGTTGTAACCCCACAGTTGTCAGCAGAGGCAAACAAGGTCTCTCTGCAGGACAAATGACTTTGATATTAATCTTTCCAGTATCATATGCTTTACATAGCACTCAACCAAAGCAACAAGGTGTGAGGATAGGAAGCCAAAGATGAGGGAAACAGACAATAGACCATAGGGGCTTAAAGTTATGTGGATCACCAGCACAGGGTGTTCCAAGGGGGAAAGCTAAACAAATCTAAGAGGCCTGGTGCAGTGGCTCACATCTGTAATCCTAGACACTTGGGAGACTGAGATTGGGATGGTTGTGGTTCCAGGCCAGCCTGAGCCAAAAAGTACATGAGACCTCATCTCATCCCATAAAAATTGGGTGTGGTGATGCACGCCTGTCATCCCAGCTATGCAGAAAGCATAAATAGGATTGCAGTCCAGGCTGGCCTTGGCAAAACTTGAGACCCAAAGCAAAGCAGTAAGGGCTAGAGGTATTGGTCAATTGGCAGGGCACCTGCCTAGCAATTGTGTTCAAACCACAGCCCTGCACACACGCACACACACGTGCACATGCACGCAAATATGTACACGCACACAAATATGCACGTACACTGCGCGTGCACACGAATATGCACACACACATGAATATGCACACGCACATGCATGCAAACATGTACATGCACACATACATACAAACACGCACACACGCACACATGCACACGGATATGCACATATGTGCACATGCACGCACATAGATATGCACACACACACTGACATGCACAAATGTGCACACGCACGCACACAGATATGCACACACGCACAAGAATATGCACATGCACACACATGCACACAGATATGCACACACATGCACACGGATGTGCACACACGCACGCAAATATGTACATGTGCACACACTCATGCACACGAATATGCACACATGTGCATGTGCACGCACATGGATGCGAATATGTACATGCACATGCACATGGATGCATGCACACATGTGCATGCCCACACACACGATCTCAAGTAAATTGCAGGGAAGAGTGAACTTGGAAACAGTGAAATTGAAAACCAGTGAAAAGGTACTCAGGACATGCACACAGATATGCACACACATGCACACGGATGTGCACACACGCACGCAAATATGTACATGTGCACACACTCATGCACACGAATATGCACACATGTGCATGTGCACGCACATGGATGCGAATATGTACATGCACATGCACATGGATGCATGCCCACACACACGATCTCAAGTAAATTGCAGGGAAGAGTGAACTTGGAAACAGTGAAATTGAAAACCAGTGAAAAAGGTAACTCAGGACGGTGTACACAGCAGCACACTTGACACAGTTTGAGAGGGAATGGATGAAACGGAAGATAGGTTGCAAGAAAATATCCAGCATGAAGCAGTGAGATGAACAGATGGAAATACAGACAACAGACAAGAAGACAGAGGAAGTCTCATTTTTGGTAGTTTCTGGAAACTAGCAGTTGGTAGAAAGTCGCTCCCACTGTAGGAATATGTACAGGGTGCTGCAGAGTCAAATACTTAGAAGTCATCAACACTGACATTTCATTTTCTGAAGTTTATTGTTTTTACAAAATAAAGCAAAACAACAAGCAGCTATCAAACCCAGCAGACTTTATATAGAATTTCTGCACCTGTTCTCACATCAGTCAGCAAAACTGACTCCAATGTAAGTGACAAAAACAGGGTAGATTTCCCCTTGGTCATAGGCAGTCAGGTGGTTTGTTTTGGAGCGAATCTGTAATAACTTTTTGTAAGCACTGGTCATATTTTGAGAACTAATTTGGTTTATCCAACAAAGAAAACAAGATTTTATCGCACTGAGGTGAAATTCAGAATGTGTATTTGCTTGGATGGGAAGCAAATCTTCTGACATCCCAATTTCCTGGAGAACACTGAAGAGACTTAGGCACAGCCTGGGTTGCATACTGAATACTTGTTGTGTACTGTAATGTCTAAGGCGCTGCTACACTTCTAAAGAAAACAGCATTCCCTTCAGAGGCTGCCCAGACTTTGGGTTGCTCGTAGTTTCTGCTGCTGTCTGATTTCGAGTATTTCCCTAAACAGGGCCATATGATCGGCACAAAAGTTTGATGTGATGCCACAGACGCTGATTTTTTACATGTAATTTGTACAGAGTAAGACTCCGTGCTCTGGACCCTGGGTGACCACAGAGAAATGGGTAGCATTCTCAGATTCACAGCAGAATCTGCTGGCAAGCAGAAATAAAGTGGACT